CATGGCTTGTGGAGGGTACGCAGCCAACGTCATGCCCTCTCCTACCCTTCTATCCTCCTTGGGAGAAAGCCAGAGGAGAAAGCCATCCCTCCTGCTCAATGCAGGAGATCCGGTGGGAAAAGAAGAGGGGGTGCGGAAGGGAATTTATTAGCTATTGGGCCACGTGAAGGGGCAAATAGAAAACATTAAAAAAAAACATTTTTTATCGCTTTTGTGTTTGTACAACGCGCGCACGCCGCAGAAACTCAGCACGCGCGCGCGCCATGCGGGCACTGGCCAATTCGAGCCAAGCCTAGCCGGACCAAGTCAACACAAGCCAAGCTAAGACTGGCCAAGACCAGCCAAGACCACCAACCGCATTTACACAATCGTGCAAGCAACCAGGGTTGCCAGGTTGGGCTATTAATAGCCAAATTGGGCTACTTTGTCATGCATTTGGCGTCGAAATTTGGCGGTTGGCTATGTGGCTATTTTTGGGCTACTTCAAATCCTAATGCGGCACTTTTTTTTTGTTTTTGCTTGGTTTAGAGTAGATGTACAAAAAGGCACTTCAGCATGGACACAAAGTGACAGTCCACTCTGCGTGAAGATTCGAGGGCGTGAGCTACCGTGACCTAGATTTAGCTCCCACGACATCGCTTTTGTATTAATTGTGGCTTATTTTATGCTCCCAAGTTCTTTCTGCTTCCTACTGGCGTCTCTTATTTTATCGAGTTTCCCAGCAACCTCCTAGAGGAGGCACCTCATCCGAGGAAAAAAGGCAACTCAAAACTTCCTGCAGAATTTGATGTCGCCTGATAACGCGTGCTGTACCGGATATAACAAAGGAGGCTTTTCTGCGAAACGTGAAAGTTTCTTAAAGCACAATGAGCCATAACAAAAAAGAACAGATTTGGGACAATGAATATTCCGAACAAGGCCAAGATTGATGCGCAGGAGCAGCCCTTTCTCCGTTGCTATCCGAGCTTGTCATCGCGCTCCAGACACTACCCATGTCGAGTGCCGCCGTGGCATTTGACATGAGCAGCGTCGAATGCCACGGTCTGTATTCAGTCATGTGTCCCTCACAAAGTCACATCTGGTCACATCTAAGGAATAGGATGTCCCTTCCAACTCTTCAAGACGTCCTATATGTAAAGTTTGCTTTCCTTGGGAAGAACGAGTGCTGTAAGCACATCAACCCTACTGAAGAAGTTTTTGCCCGTTTTAACACTGAAATCATGTATGAGGCCAGTAAGCAGGGCACGAGCGAGTGCTTCATAACTATGTAACTAAAAACGCGCGTGTCAGCTCTTGCAAGCTGCTCCTAAACCCCAGATGTGCAGACGTAGCAGCGCACAATATTTTGGGCTCTGCAGAATATGGCTACTTTTGGGGTGCATAAATATCTTGCGTTTGGCTACTTTTGGGCTACACCGTCTGGCATTTGGCGGTTTGAGCTAGAAACTACCTCGCAACCCTGCAAGCAACACGAGGCATTTGTTTATGCAGAGGGACCAGAACAAGAAGTGTGATTGTGTATCGGATTCAGCAGTCTTTTTTCTGCCTACGCATTGTTCAGTTTCTGCTCCACAGTGATCTGGTGTTTGTGTGTTGGTGCTTCTGCTTCGTGCCTTGTTTGGATTTTGGGCTGCCGAGGAGCTCGCACGAAAGAAAAACGAACTACCAGACAAGCAGGTGCCGTGCTGCTGCTTATCTGCGTAGTCCCCAAGTGGATTGTTAACGGAAGGACCTGAGCAGTGAGGATGAGCGCAGTCAAAACATAAACTGATATTTCTTCTATTTCCATTGACTCTTCACATCTGCTATGCCCCCGAGAGCGAGAAAGTGACGCGGCCTCTCGGTTTGCATTAAAATAGTAATAATATTTTTTTTTCTTTTTGAGGGCATCAAAGCCTGCCCTCGCGTTAAATTCGTGGTTGCGTTATATTCGTGCAAATACGGTACCATATTTACATGAATGTAGGTCGACCCATTCTTCAGTTTTTGAAAATCTGAAGCGGGGCGGTCGACCTATAATTGAAAAAAAAAACATTCCACCACCGACAAAAATGAAACAATTGCAATATCAGGAACACCTCGACTTGTTACGATTTCAGCCGGCACTACCTGTAGCATTGCGCCATTTTGTGCGCTCATTTTACAAGTTCTTTTTTCTTTGTAGGACCGAGTGTTTTTTATAGTGATTCGCTAATTAGCCCAAATGTATGATGGTGACGGTGCACGGTGCACCGTTCGTGCCGCCACCCACTTGATAAAGGAGCCACTCCAGAATGGCCGCTAACAGCCTCACTTCCCGCTGCTTCTTTTCCCAGTTTTTCACACGATTCACAGTCACAAGTTGTTTGATTGAGTGTCAAGATTATGCTGGAGCACCAACTATGTTTTTCTGTACTAACGTGCATGATTCAGGCAGTTTAGGCTTTTGGTGCTCGTTTATGGCCATTCCTCATCCAGAAGCAACCAACAACTGCGCTGCTGGACGCAAGTTCGACCTGCCATTGCAGACACTAGTGGTGTCTGCAACAGCGCAGGATCTTAACTGCGATGGCAAGCAAAGAGGCTTCCGCAGGCCAAAGTCTGCAGAGGTTGGGATGCCTTCCAGGGTTGGAGGTCAGGCTAGCAACGTACGCCGCACAAGTGTGCAATCGGTGCCTACCGGTGACGTGCAATGCGATCACCGAGCAAGTGCTGAAGATTGTAATGAACGCCTTCCTGGAGACACACGGGCGTCCCAGTGACCTTCCAAGAAGCCAGCAGACGTGGGTAAACGACCAGGCATTTCTACGTTCCAAGAGCCTATTGGGCTCCAGGAAGCCCAAGGACAAGCGTCAATGGCGAAAAGAAAGTGCTGGTCAGCGACCTTCCAAGAGGCCCGCCGACGTGGGAAGAAGACTAGCAACTCGGCCTTCCAAGGATCTTACAGTGGCCCACAAGGTCAATGCATCCTCTCCCGCACTTCCCAGGCGGACCCCTCCTGTCGGGAGCCCCGCACCCAATTACCTTCCCTTTGGAAGAGGAAGCCGCGGCAATCATGGATGCACGCCGCGCCGACCCCTTTGGGGGACAAGCGGAGACGTCTTTGGGACAGCTGGTCTGCATGGTGTTGGTAGCGTGTGGGGGGAGAGACAGGAGCGTGTCGCTGTGTGGGGGGGAGGAGCTGACATAGCTCGCCGAAATCCCTACGTGGGAAATGTAGGGAACAGAATCCCAGTTAAAAGAAGCAGACTTCTTCGGGACTCCTGTCTTCTGATGCTGTTTTTCGACCCTGTACAAATGTAAAGTAAACCCGTTGTCAAAAGCGGCCCTGCTTCCGAGCTCCTTCTGCCTGATGTCCTGGTCGGCGCCTGGCTCCAGCGGAGCCCGACAACAAGGACAACCCCGGAGCTGTTACAAGATGTGGTTGATGCGGTCACTTGCAAAGTGCGAGACTTCGTTGGACGACGCAGACGACGTGCTTTGAGAACGTAGCAGTGATGTCGCGGACAGAGCGAGAAAGACATAGAGCAGCTTCAGTTGTCCCGCCTCCAGCGCGACCTTGCTAGTTTCAATCACCCTTGGGCATCTCAAGCGCCTCGCACGTGCATGCACAGCCAAAGCACACCAGAAGGCACCGAGCGCATGCTGGAGATACCCTGTGGTTCTCACACATTCGCCATAAAATGCGCCTCTGAAGATTTTTTTTTTTTGTGCTGATGCGCAATGTGGGGGGGTTGACTTACAGTCGAGTCGACTCACAATCATGTAAATATGGTACTGTGGGTAGGATGCAATAGGAAAAGAAAGGCACGAAAAGGTGAATGTCTAGAGGCATTGGTGAAAGGACAAGATTGGGGGAGAGTGAAGGAAGAGTGTAGGGAACATTCGTGGATGAAAACTAGTATCGGGGGATGCCAACACCCTGGGGATTTGTATATTTGTGGACAGGAATTAATTCTAGAGAGGAGAACACAGAGCCCATAACATGCATGAGAGACATCAAGGAAATCGGAAAAGACCGTGAAATACTAATCATGGGAGACACAACTGATCACTTGGACATATTCGATGGTTTCATGGATGTGACAGGAAGAATGCTACAGGAGTTATGCGGGACCTTAGATCTGCTGCTGGTAAATGCACAAATCAAATGTGAGGAAAAAGTAATATGGGAGCGGAACAACTCTCAGTCGACAACAGACTGCTGTATAACGTCCCACAAATTGTAAGGCTTAGGGAGTGACCACAAATAAATTAAGGTTAATTTTGGTAGGACACAACCAGAACCAAAAATTAAGAAATAAGGAGACAATATAGATTTTAGTGACACACAGCTGAAGGAAATATCATAATGAATTGAGGACACAGTAGCCGCACAAGCAGATAGAGTGGTAGCACAATGCAGGCACGTATCCAGAGGGGGGGCCCATGGGGCCCACGCCCACCCCGAAATCTTCCATTGTGCATAAATAATTTATAAAAAAAAATAACTAAGCAGTGTAAACTAATGAAACTTTCTGGGAATACTCTCTAAATCAGGGGTGGCCAAACCACGGCTCGCGAGCCGCATGCGGCTCTTTGCCGGTCACGGTGCATTCGCACCCTCAAAGAGGGTGCGAACGTGAAGAAGTGTGAGAATGGCCAGTAAGGAGGCCAGAAAGTCCAAGGAATCCGGGAGGGGGGGGGGAGGGTTAGCTAAAGAATGCTATTGCCACAAAAGTAAGAGAAAATGCGAGTGCCGCTGTTGCCACAGCATCCCAACTCCTGGCTGCCGAAGCTGCAGAGCGACCAGCAACAAAACAGGTGCCTGCCACCTCCACCACCACCATTGCTGTGCCACCGCCAGGATTGCAGGCAGCGACAGCACGATGCTTCTGTGGCGTCACCGGGCGGAAATCAAGGGACCACTTTCTAGAACGCGGTACACAGACCGGTCAGAGACACGCTCTAGACACCTGTATTCACACAGGGCAGGGTTTGTTGCAGTGCAATTTGGAGAAGTTCAAGGTGCTGCCTCTCACCTGTCGGGGTGTGACAGAGCACGACGCAGTTGGCCAGCTTGTTGACAGCCTGGCCTCCCGGACCACTCCCGTGGACAAACTGTTCGACGATGTCTTCGTCTTTCAGGACTGGGACTCTGGATCGGTCGACGGAGTGCTTGCTCCGCATCGAGCCACGGAGCAGGAGCCGTGCTGCCGAGGTCCCGGCCGCTCGCAGCACTCCGGTAAGCATGTCATACGAGCCGCCTCTTTTCAAGGAAGGCCTTGCCCTTCTGCAAAGGTCATGCGGAACAACGGTCAACAGACATTCGTAACCGTAGCATTAGATTTTGAATGTACAAATCAATCCCGCTTCAGACAAGCCGCAAGATCAGCGCTTCAATTGGTTTAAACAAATTGTGAAATGTGAAGATAGGTAGCACTAATACCATAAGCTTCTAATGTCGACGTATAGAATGGCTTGGACTTTGAAACGAATAGGAGACTACTGTAAAACACCGAGCAAGCGCCCACTCAATATTTGAAGATAATCGCAAAAAAAATAAGGGATGGGCGCATGTGAGGTCATCAATCTTACATATATCAGGGTTCATACAGAATGTCTGATGCAAAATTCAAGGACTTTTCAAGGATTTCAAGGGCATCAGAATACAAAATTCAAGGAAGGTTCAAAGAAATTTATTCATAGACAGGAGTTAGGAAATAAGCTACTTTTTGGCAAAAATTTCTCGTTCCATAGCAGCTATAGCTGCTTTCTTTTCTTTTACTGTTTGCTGAAAACTATTGGCCTTGGCCAAAAGTGTCAAGTCATTCTTCGCCTCAGCATCTTCTGAGAAGCAATCTGCCGACTCCAGCAGGCACTTGAGAGTTTTCTGGAGTTTCAACTTCTCATGCATTCTCTCCAGCTCCATTTCAACTGCTTTTCTCTTCAAAATTTTCTGCTCAAAGGCTACTTTTTTCTTGCGCTCTTCTAAGTATGCAGCGTACTTCCGCCTTGATAGGCGTACAGAGGACTTTAACTCCTTCGACAGTGGAATATTGAGCAGGCCACCGTGGTTTTTGAGGGCATCGAAGATGATCAGCTGAGAAACATAAAATCTCTGCCAAGTTTTCAAAAACAATCTGCTTGTTACCTCTAAAGCCCCTTTCGACGGAAGCTTGCCAATGACTGAGCAGAAGGAGCACCTTTAGTGCTTCCCATAGTGTGGAAAAGGAAGTGTCGTATTTCATCAGGTGCACAATTAAAGAACTTATCAATACGCTCTTGGCTTCTTTTGTAGCCTTGCAGTTCATATCGGAACTCGTGACAAAAAATTAACATACTGCCCACAAACCTGCTCTCTCTTACGCTCAGAAAGAAGTTCTGCATCGATAAGGCAATTCAAAAGAACTTTGAGTTTTCCAAGGCATTTTCTGTTTTCAACCTTTCCCTGGGATCAAAGCAGGATAGCCCTCTGATAATTGTGTACTTGAGAGGACTTTTTCCAAGAAGCTTCAATGTCACTAACTAGAAACTTGCGACACTCAGATCCAAGCTCAAGAATACATTTAGGGCTCGCCTTGCTGTTTTTCAGTATTTTCTCCGCTGCGCATCCCGACAGGAGCTCTAGGAGTAGTGAGACGACACAGCCTTCATTGTCTACAGAATCTCGGCTTCAGCAACCATCTAGTGCTTCCAAGAATCCGTGTCAAGGGCCAAGAGGTACTTGCACCTGCACGTTGGTGCCTGGGCATATCCGGCGCCAAGTCCGATGCTAGTAGATAAGAGGTGATAGACGAGCTGGAAGCAGCTGACTCGGCTTCAGATTGATGCTTTGCGCTTTTTAAATGACTTTTCAAAGTGCTTTCACCCATTATGGCGACATCAATTGACTCTCGACAAATCGCAAACTTCGCTCAGAAGAAGTCGTTCATATCAGGGCTCACCCACTGGCGATAGTCTTTGTGTTCCAGTCAAGAACGCTAGAACTTACACTTTCGACCCGGCATTTTGGCTTTCAATCTTGAGTGAAAGTGTCTCACGCACACCAACACGATCCTCAACACACTCAACAAAAAGCAAAAATGGCGATGACACGGGACGCCTTGGATTGGATTGGCTTTATCCTTTAGAACAAACGACATGCCGTGTTGCCAGACGACGCGGCCCCATTTACGCATTTGTTGGAGGATTTTCAAGGAATACAAGGATCGTTTCAACTTTCAAGAATATTTAAGGTCCCTTGAAAGGCTTCTAATGAAATCCAGGGTATTCAAGAATTGCAAGATGTACGAACCCTGATATATAGACCAACACGCGGTTCTGACGTCACGCAGCTGCAGAGGCGCTGTCGCCGGCACTGTGCATGCGCTGATGCTTCACCTCACGCGAATTCAGTTTCTGCGCACGTGCCCACACCTGGTGTGGGCAAACGCGGGCTTGTTTGTAAACAGCGTATCGGTCTATATGTACCGTGCATATTTTTTCAATGTTTCAAATTTTGGGAGTGGGCAATTAGTGCAGAATGGGCAGATGCATGGTATTCTACAGTATGTGGCAACTTAAAATATTATATTTGAATATTTCAAAGTTTTGAGAATAATATGAAACATGTTTTGAAAATATTGCGAAACAGCCGACTCTTTTGACTGTAATATTAGAAGATTAATTTACAAATCATACCTGCGACAGATGAGCTGTACTATCAGAATAATTGTGCTTCATTTGTCTCAAACAAATTTTGTAATATAGGGTATGTATCAGAGTATCTTAAAATGTTCTACTGTCGACGCGTAGAATGGGTCACATTCAAAATCGAATCGAAGGCTATAGACAGACTCGCTGTTTACAGACAAGCTCGCGTTTGCCCACACCTGGTGCGGGCACTGCACATGCGCAGAAACCCAATTCGGAAGGAGTGAAGCGTGTGTGCACGCGCCGTGCCGTCGACAGCGCCACCGCAGCTGCGTGATGTTAAGGCCGCGTGTTGGTCTATACGCGGTCATGTCTCAGTAATATGAAAGCCATTAATATGAATACCCCCTATATAAACAATATTTTCGGGGATAAAATGGTAATTACATACATTTTAGCGTCATTATGGACACCTAACATTACAGAAGGCTCTTTGGGGGGAACAAAGGTGTCCATATTAGCGAGATATCACAGTATGGTAACTTTAAATATTATTTCTGAGTATTTCGGAGTCTCGAGAATGTTGCAAAACACACTCGAGAACAAATACCGTACAATAAAAGGCCTGGACATCAGAAAACCACAATTATGAGCCGTCATGTCGGTTTTTGTTTAGTTTTTATGCTGTCGAGTGAACATTAAAACGCTCATTTCCTTATTATAAGGCGTCTAGGGTCCTTCTACAAAAGCTGCTGCCTCTGAAAATGGGTCCCAGTTGCTCTTTAGCAGCCTTTCGTCTGGGAATCCCTGCAGTTTACCTGGAAAACATATCTTTGAATTCGAATACCAGGCTCTCTATATGTATCTATGTGTCTGGTATGTTTGCCATCTTCCATGGCAGAAGAAAATTTGTAATAGCAAAGTTGGCGACTCTTGAAGTTTCTTTAAAGACAGTACATTAACTTGTCGACCTTTAAGCACAATAAACATGACACGGCAGCTTTTAAGCACAATAAACATGACACGAAGCAGCAATTGGTGCCAAAATCAGGAAGGTGTTGCCTGGTGAACCCGTGGCACTTCCAACAAGGCTTGGTGTATGCTGGGGCCTCAGATTATAATCTATTTTTCCCAAACGGAGTGGAGTGAAGGGAGGGGTGACCGCCTGTAGTATGATATGTTTGAAAAATAGCTTGAAGCTCCAAGCTAGCCTAGCCGCATTCACACAACAAGACGGCATTCGGAAAATGGCATCGGCTGTTGTTGACTTTAGAACATGCGCTCGCATGGGCCATGGTGACGGTGACATCAGCAGATTGACTTTATCTAATGGAAGCAGGGTGTAAAGACAGGAGCAGAATGCAGCAAATCCTGGGAGTGAACATCCACGGTCCAGGGATAAACAACAAGGAAGAGAGCTACAGAAGAGTGAAAAAGAGAGCAGACGAAAGGTTAGGCGTGTTTGCTTTGCCATGATAAGCTGAAGTTGCTCGAGCGCTTGTCAACTTTACTTTGTTTTACAGAATGTGCAATTCCAGTATTTTCCTGCAAAGTAAGCTAGAAAGGAACAAGGTACAGTCATGTTTTGTTGCTTCTTTGTGCATATAAAGGCGTCACCAGTGGTATCCGCCCATCAAGACTGCCTACTGGGGACACCGATGTCCGCGCCCATGCCACGCCATTCACAAGCAGCCCCAATGCATGGGACGTTTCCCTCTAGATTATTATGTCAACTCTATGACGGAAGGAGACAGTCGTGTAGCGAGATCAAGTGCATGTTTCGGTTCTCTTGTTATGCCTTTTAATAGGCAGAATTTGGGCAAAATGCAGATGTCATAATCTAAAGCCATGGGGAAATAAAATAACCGACTAGACGACACAAAATCTCAGACGGCTAGGAAACAATTAGAATATTTCCTAACCAGCTCGCCTTCATACTTTCGCTCCTTGCAAAATCCAGACGACTGACTTTCTCCAAAGCCTAATATATTAACAAGTCTTGCACGAAAAGCTTCTTTTTGGGGGGGGGGGGGGGGGCTATCCGGTGGGCAGTTTTTCTTTCCTGGAACAAGCTGCTAAAAAACCAAACTGCCGATTATAGTATGTATGGCTGCTGCAATGGCTGTAAAGGTCTATTTAAATGGTGCATCCTTTTTCCAAGTCTAGTGTCGTGAAACTAGGTTTCGGGAAACAGATGCGCCGAATGAACACAAGTGGAAAAGACGCGCACATCCAAGAAAGGACGTGCACACTCCTCGCTCTTGGAAGAAGATTGTGCCGAAACTTCGCTGAAGCCTGTCAGTCACCCAAAAGGGAAACAAGGATGCTACAATGGCCGCTCGACATCTCCATGACGTCTAAACTTCGAGGCAGAGCAAGCTTTTGGAGGAGCCCGATTTTTGGTCCCCCCTTTCCGAGCCAAAGCTGAAAAAAAAAAAAAGAAACATGGCAGCGCGCAAATAAAAATTGGAGCCATTCTACTCGGTGAAGGGGGATGACCAGCGAAGCAGTTTAGCAGACGACACAGACATGACAGAGAATTTTGAACAAAGGTAAAAGCACATTTACTGTCTTGATCGGCGGTCATTGTGACGAAAAGTACGCTCACACATGTGCCGCCTGCTGCCGCGCTGACATTCTCGTTGCCATTCCCGCTGTTGTTCTTCAGGAGTCTGGACTATACGCGGCCTCCCCATTACGACGAGAGAAGTGAAATTGAAAATGGAGAACGGTAACCCAAGTTTCAAGGAGAATGCAGGGAATGGTGTTCCACGTGCTGCATGTGCATGCCTTCCCCATATAAAAGATTTTAAGTAAATAACCAAAATAAAGCATTGACGAACGCGCATGCAAGATGCCATTTGTTTCAGGCTTTTGCTTTAGAGCAATTACTGCTGCAGATGCTGGCACGTGCGGAGCGTGGGCACGGTGCGAGTGTAGTTTTTTGGTTACGCACATGAAAAATCCACGGAACTCTATAATAGTCCGTTACAACTCAAAGAAGTAGGGTGAGGGTAAGACGGGCCTGGGAGGAGGAAGCAGACAAAATGCTGAAGAAGAGAGAGGGAAACCTACTTTTCTCTTTAACGTTCAGTCTGCTTCCTCCTCCTCGACCCGTCTTACCCTCGCCATACCTTCTTGAGTTGCAACGGACTATAGCCATAAACAGCTTCGCTGTACAAGGTGGTGCTGGTAAGCAACGAGCAGAGAACCGGTGCTTACGGGCAGTACAGGCTGGCGGTACGGTGTATATTCTTCAACAATCGTGACGAGTGCAATCACTGCAAGGTATATATATGATGACTGGGTATATCTGAACATTTAGTGGTGCAAAAAGTTTCTGAAATACGTCGAGATAATCTGCCAGTTCTTTTTTAAAGTCTGTCTGCAGTCCTTCCTCGGTTTGGCAGGCGTAGCAAACCAAGTGAGCAAAATCCGACAAAGTTTATCGAGTTATATTAATAAGGCAAACTGTCTCTTCACACTCTGCATACTTGATATCATTTGCTGCAAAACGCTTGACATTCCCGGTGCAGGTGACAAAGTTTGCGAAATTCTAGTGAGTCAACACGTCACAATTCTCGTGCATCAAACTCGACATGGCAATAAGCCAATCAAGCAAAATCTCGGTTTCGCGAAACCACTGCACGTTGAAAAAAAGCACCGTACAAATGAAATTTAGAACCGGCGTTGGGACGTGTGTCCTGTGTGAGCGCAGTGGTCACGTCAGAACTGTTGCTCTTTTGTTTGGAATAATGCTGGAGCCTCAAAAGTTATTTTGAGTGCCAGCGACACAGAAGGAGCAGTTGGCTCAAGGCAGTGTCAGGACCATGGTGTAAGATATATACATATATTCACACACAACTTCAATGCATTATAGATTACAGGGCGGTTGTTACAAGATGGTGGAAGAGACACATCACAGGTGGCGGAGATGTTGATGTGCATCAGGAAAATGAGCATGTCCATTTTTAAAAGGCACACGACAACATTGGTTTCATGTTCATTTCTAAAAGTTGCCGAGCATGTTTTGGGCACTGGCCACGTGTGTGGCAAAAGATTCTAGGGGGTGATGAAGATATTGGTGTTGGTGTGGTGTTTGCACTCTACCTGGTGACCAATGGTCCAAAATGCGAGCTGCGCAGGGTGACCGTCAAGCTCCGGAAGACTGGCGTTCATATTGATGCCTCTATGTCAGAGGCTTACAACTCACTGCACACCGTCGCGGTTTTAGTCGCCAAAACTGCCCGTTCTAAGTACTGGTCACGGCCATTCAGCACGAAAAATCCGAACACATTCCCAGTGTCATTCGCTCGACACACCGTTGAGCAAGCAGCTCTCTTCTACTTTCGAAAAATAATAGATTTTTGGGAAATATGCAAGAGCTCTGCACATCTAACGAGAGCTTTTTGCCGTCGCGCTGAGCACAGCTTGAGCTGGCAACTGCAGGAGCCAAGATCCGCAGCATGTGCAATCTATGAAAAGTCTCCAATTAAGTGAGGCATCCCGGTACCTTTGCACAACGCAGTTACGAAGCGGAACATAATTCCTATTGTAACACACTCAGCTTTTCCGTTGCAATTACATGATGTACGAAGACACCGATCAAAACCATGCGCTAACAGCAGCCCCAAAGGATGACACTCCTTGCCACTGTCTCCACCGCCGTCCCCGCACTTCCGGTTATACTGTTTCGCCCGCGAGAAGGCAAGCAGCGGGCTGGAGTTGCGAATATAGGTGTGGACAGCGCGCACGTTGCTGATGCCAGATGAAGCCCTCTCCCCACCTCGGTTCCAAGAAGCGACGCAAGATGGCTCCTCGATATGCGGCTAATGGCACGCCGAACGCAAACCACGTTTTGCGCTTTGCGTGTGCTATTTCTCAGAAATTGCGTGCGTATGCAAAGGGTCTTTGCGCTCCTCCAAGGAAAATTCGTAATGAGAAGTTGGCCAAAGCCAAGACGAGCACAGTTAAAAAAATGGCGGCCCCCAGGACCATGGCTGCGGCCGTTTCGGTGTCGTCGTGAGCGCGACGTCGGCGGCATCCTCGGGACTGTGGTTTTCAAGACTGGACGAGATTGCACTCGGTTTGGAAAACCCAGTAAGGTGGGCAACGATCACCGGCAACTTGATGCTTGCGACGAGCGAACATTTATCGGCAAAGGTCAGTCTTGCCAAGGCGACGCATGCGAACACGACTGGTCGACTGCTCGCGTCGCATTCTCATGTTTAAACAAATGTAAAATTGTTACTCCGGACCAAAAATCTTGTTTTTTCTCAAGTTACAGCGTTTTGTGTGTGAAATAAAAATCGTGACTGTATCTTGGTGGCGTTGCAAGTGTGAGATGCTTGGGCTTTTCCGTCGCAGCGGATAAACGCTAGTCTAAAACTCTCTTGCGTCGCGTGCACTAACGCAAGCGCTAAATTTAGCGCTAGCGTGCGCTAAAATTGCGTACGTTATTCTAAAACTCCCTATTGACAAAATAGATGCGAAATGCAATCCCAGCGTGCTTTCGGTAGCTTCAATCTCCAGTTTTGGCGAAAAGGTTAACGTGTTGCACCCGCCCCTTTCTGGAGAACTCAGCCTGCCCTGCTCCCCCCCCCTCCCCCTCACTCCCTCCTCCTCCTCCTCCTCCTCCTCCTCCTCCTCCTCCTCCTCCTCCTCCTCCTCCCTCCCTCCCTCCCTGCAAAAGTGAAGTATCTATCGCCCCATCATAAAAAGAGTGACTATGTCAAACAAGCTTTGCGCAAACAGGATGATGACTAGACAGGCAGATGGGGCTATATATGAGCCATTCTTTACTAAATAGAATAAACAACAATGGCGAAGTTCCTCATTTGTTTCAGCTTATTTGGTCTTGTTAACCCCTTTGGTTTTGCAGCAAAGTGGTTAATTTGTGGAAACGTTGTTCGGTCGAGCACGAACGCCTCACTACCTCGCCAACGTCCGAAATAATGAAGTTGGCAAGAGGCACTCACCTGGAAATAAAACTGGCGCTCCTTGTCGTCCGCGAGATCCCGGTGCTTCTCGAACTCGGTCCTCAGCCTCCTCAGGTAGTACGGTTTATCCGACAGCTCCAGGTCCCGGGCGTAGCGCACCAGGCTCCGGTACAGGTTTAGAACGGCTGCCTTGCTCAGGTCCGCAGGCATCGTTACCTGGCAGATATAAACAAGCAGTGAGCTGGCCGCAGAACCACGGGATGAGCCATTGGATGAGTGCCGTCGCAGGAGCTACGCACGCGTGTTTCAAAGTCATCTCTCAGCTGCTGGAATCACGTGTGTGTGCGTCTAAAGCAAAGTGAAACTATGCAACTGCTTTGTAGATTGAAAACAACTAGGTAGGATAGAAGTACTGTAGTAGTTGTAAGCTGAAACGTTGGTCTCGGCCTCCTTCGTCTCGGCTGCACTGCCCCGTGCCGCCTGTGCTGCCTGTGCTCTGCACCACAGTTCTCTGCACCATCTGCTCTGCACGCTGTGCACCATAGAGCCAATAGAGCTCTGCACGCGGTTTCGGCATGGAGAAATGAATAAGGGCGGTAGCCTGCGCCACGTAGCCTAAAACTATTTTGCGTTTTTTTATATATATTTTGTTTTAAATAAATTCATTTTGTACAATATAGCACTTTTCCAGACCTTTCCTAATAATATTTTGCAGTTTCGCGCTTACAAATATTGTGTGAACATTTTCTCCTCAAAATCTGGGAAATTTTCAGATAAAATTGGGGGAAGTAGCAGGTGTCGGTGTTCCGGCAGTTCCGGTGTTCTGATCTCTCGTTGTGAACTTGTGATCGTTGTTCCGCGTGTTTTCGCTCAGTTCATGTGTTTTTTCTTTTTTTTTTCTTTTTTTTCTGATATTTGAGGTTTTAAACCGTTCTCCAATCAATAACCAAGCATGCGGATCTGCTGTGCTCCCGGCTGTCGCAGCAGTTACGTCAAACAGCCATCGAAAAGGGCCTTATTGAAAAGTGACGAGAAGCGCCACTTGTTTACCGCTCCGAAGGATGCTGCACTCCTGAAAGTATGGCAGAATGCGATCCCTGGGAAAAAGTTCACGCTCACATCAAAACACTACCTATGCGACTTGCATTTTCAGCCCGACGACATTAATCGTCATTACTCGCACATCATCAATGGGCAGACGATTCTTATAGACAGGGGCCAATGGACATTGAAAAAAGATGCTGTGCCATGTCTGTTTCCGAATGCCCCCGCGCATCCCTCGAAACCAACCGCGAAGAGCAGCAAACGGAAGGCCTTCGCCGATCGAAGCGTTACTCAGGCTGGAGCCAGCTCTGATGTGACAATTACAGATGAACCCGAAGCTGACGACGATGACAGCAACCCAACAGACAAGTGCACCAACGTTTCCGACATCTGTTCCGGAATTTCAGGATCACGGTCGCCTGTCGAAGGATGGTCACTTCAAAGGACACCCGAGGATCACGTGATTTTCTACAAGCTTGTGGAGAAGCAAGGTGTAGTTTCTGTGACGAGGGCTGTCACGTTCAGAAAGGATCTCCCTCTAGTTGTTAGCGTAGGAGGAAAGTTGGTGCCAGAGGCAAGCTATAGGAGTCCAAGTACGACTCGGCCATGCATATCAACCCTCGAAGAATTGAGAGTTTTCTTGGGCTATATTGATTCCCTCAAAGTGTGCGCTGGATGCCCCCTGGAACTATTTCAAACTGTCACATCCTTAACAACAGCCGTCGGGAATGGTGACATGTGGCGCAGAAAGACATGCATGGTGCTTTCAGAACAGACTACCTGTCGAGGTTGCGTGCTCACACGAAAGGTGTTCCGCGAAAGAGAAAAAAAAGACACTCTTCAAAACAGACAACCTCCCAACGGAAGCCTCGTTTGCTTGTGAAAATTACTGCGGAGAAAGGTCATCCGTGAAAACTTTCCGTGAAAAGGCACAAAGAGAGGTGGAAACCCGTAGCGTCAGTTTTCTGCAGTGCCAGATGAGAATATTGAAGCTGCTACTTCTGTGTTGCCATGTTCACAACAACTTGCTTTTTGCACAGCACTCGAGGCTGTCTCGGAAAAATCCGCACTAGGGAGACGGTATGCAACTGAGTGGCTTATGATGTGTCTTCTCCTGAGGATTTCTAGTCCAAAGGCTTGTAGTCTAATGTCTACAATGAACCTACTCTCCCTCCTGACTACTTTGAGGCTAAAGCAGATGATCAAGGGGGTTCCTTGACAATTTGGCTTTAAAGGTGGCCTTAGCTAATGTTGAAACTTCCCTGGCCAATAAGACGGGGCACCAGTGCTCTAGCACATTGATCCCGGATGGAGTGAAGGTGCAGAAGGCTGTCGCTTTTAATCGAGGCACCTATAGGCTTTACGGCCTTGTGGATTATGGTGACCAAGTTTGTTCTGGCACTGCTGCTGATCATGCCTTGGTAGTAATGTTTGTCCCTCTTTGTCATTGCCGGGTACGGCCCATAGCCAGTCTTGCCACAAACAATCCAGCACCTGGTGCAATCCTTGCAAGGCTTGTACTGCAGGTGATTATGAAACTAAAAATATATAATGTCATAGTAGTAGCAGTGATAAGTGTTGGTGCTATAACCAAAAAGTCAATCTGGTCATGTTTTGAAATCTCGGGAAAACTAGAAGACCCCAACCACAAGATGGAGCACCCGAGTCCATACTTCTTGTGTGACGTCCTCAGCATCATCAAACGCGTGTGAAATCGTCTCTTGCAGCACAAGTACAGCATGGTAAGTTGAATGGAGGTTAACTCTGCATTTCTCCTGCAATGGCTCGTTAGTTCTTTGACTTCCTTTTGATTCAGCAAGTTAATTTTTATGCATTATATTTCAAAACTTTCCAGATCTGGCAGCACAAGATAAACTTCAACCAGTACTCGACTGTCTGCAAGGCTGGTGCCAACGAGCCAAATCAAGTAGTGCCGGAACTTACTCGGGAACATGTCAGCCTCGACAACTTACGAAAGATGAACGTCAGTTTCCAGCCTTCTGCTATGTTTCGTTTGGTTTTGAAGACAGGAATAACTTGTTTTGTTTTGCTTCTTTTTTTTTGGCGCTTCTTTAGAGTGGTCAGGACTTTCGGAGGTGATGAAGATCACCCAACTGTTGTGAGCTTCTCACACATCTATTGCCTCCTGGGAACCTGATGGGGGAACAATGGCTGTTCTTGCCTCCGTAGAACAGACAATAATCGCAAAAAAGAAAATGAAAATTGAATTGGGGCACGATAAACTTGAAGCTTGCCTCCAAAGTAAACTTGCTCAGACTTGTAGTTCTGCAGATGAAAAACCTGACCAGATACATTATCATGCTTACATGGACACATTGGCGCAAGCCTGTGTTATATACTGCATGTGTGGCTATCTGGTGTGCTCGGTTGGTAAACACAACAGCTTTGGACATGTGTAACCGAGCTTTTAGCAAGGGCCAACCTAGCACCATTAACACAAAGAAATCGTCATTCTCGTCTCAAGCTCTTGTTTCAATTAATTAAAGTTATAGGTCATTATAAAATTGATATATCTCAACTAGTTTCCTTTTCTTCTGGATATGCGACCAGACAGAGGCATGACTTAACTATAACTCCTTTCCGCGCACGCAATAATTGCTTCAAATATTCTTTTTTTCCAAAAACAATAATCGATTGGAATAACCTTACTAATGATGTAGTTTTGCAGCCATCATTGACATTATTTGCCTCCCACCTTTGTTAATATTGTTTTGTCTCTGTTTTTTTTTTTAATTTCTTTATGTTACATTTTTGTCCTTTTGTGCCAGCTATGTATCTGTACTTTCACATTGTAAACCCACCCTGCTAAAATCCCTGCTAGGGGATTGCAGTATTGATAAATAAATAAAATAAAAAAGTGTGAGCCCTGCGTGAGAGATGTTCATGCAGTGTGGAATTGGTACTCGGAAGCTTATCTCTTGCTCGAGAGGGAGTTGAAGGAGTTGAAGAGGGAAGCCTAAAACGCCCTTCATGCAGAATGTTTCTCATGCTCAAAAATGTTGAGGGAAAGATTGCTTCCACACTGAAAGCTGAAGACCTTTGCGGTGACATGATGTGGAACCTGCTTGACGCACTAGAGGAATGTGTGATCGTGAGGTGGGGTGTGACAACCACAAGGGTGTTCACTGCTTATCTTTTTCTGTATTTTGTGATTTTGCACCTTCACTTTTCTGCCTAAGACACATCACGAAAGCTCAGCGTGTCGGTGAAGGTTGCAACTGCCAGAAAGAAGGCGAAGTGTATTTTGTGCCTTCACAGAAAAAGGGGGAGATGGGGGGGGGGGGGGGGGGGGGCAGAATACAATACCTGAAAATTTCATTCTTTTAGGACGTATTAAATAAACACAAAAATATCATCTCCTGCAGAACTGCTGATGGATGGCGTGAGAAAGTTTTGTTTCTTTTACTAAACTATATTTTCTGGGATAAAATAATTTTGACATGTCGGAACCATCAAAGGTGAAACCTTTTGAACTTTTAATGCTGAAATTTTGTAAACAATGTGGTTGTGGTTTCTTGTGGTGAGTGCAGTGTTTAATTTATGTGCTTTATGTAACCCTTCAAAGGATTATTTTGTAGAATCTGAAACTTCACGTTCCATCCTTTTTCACTCCTATAAATATTTGGTGGAAAAGGTGGCCTTCCAGAGTAGCGTCCTTGGTCAAAAGGTCTCGGAAAGACTTCACATGTCTGCTCTTGTAAATAGTTTGTATAAATATTTTGATTTGTGAATGTATTAAAATTGTGACGAGATTACTTAAAATGAGTCTGGGTTGTGAGTCAGTGAGTTTAATGCTGTTACTACTGTGATTGAAACAAAACAGAGTGACAATGAAAAGTGTTTTCTGATCCACTGGGTAACTGAAGTGTACAAAGAGAGTCCTGAAAGCAGGATGTTGCAAAGTCGCTAAGGAACTTTCTCGCTCGAGAGGTTTGCAAAGCGAGGTCGACAGAGTAAAAGGTAACCTTTATTTACGATGGAAAAGCTGACCAATTATATAAAAAAAACTTTCGGTTTTCGTTTTTTACGGCATTGCAAAAAAAAAAAAAAAAAATACCGTTTCGCTTGAGGGTTTTTACAACGTGTAATGCACTTTTTCCACAGGTTCTGGAATGAAAACCGATGTTCCCGTCTAGGAAAGCGAAAGCCTCGTGTCAGACCAGAGCTTGCAGTGTGCACGCAGGTTCTCTGCACAGTCCTCTCGAATCGGCGATTTTTAAAATTGTGGATTTACAGCTTGAGAGCAGCTGATCGTTACAAAACCAATCCACGCAAGCGGAGGATTGGCAACGAATCCGGCGAAGTAGCAGACGATGCGGGGAGAGCCGATCTATCACCCTCACAGCGACGGCAGCGCCTCCATTGCAGCGAGCCGCACCGCCGCACTTCTCCGGTGAAGGAAAGCCGCTCGAGTTTCCAAACTAAAAAGCGTATGTAGCGGTGTGCAGCTCTGGCAGTGTCTGGCGTGGTCTATTATAATATTGTGTGGCTAAGGGGAGGTTCACCTTTCCGCAAGAGTTATTCAACAGAATTAAGAAAAACACCGACTAGGTGGCGCGATTCACCGCTCAATTAAAATGGTTCAACTATTTGCCTTGGTCTAGTTCTGGTCATATTCGCTCATGTTGGTACATCCATCGCATCACATTCGTAATGACGGCCAGTATGGCGGCTATTACCTCCGTTTCACACGTGTAGCTTGGTGAAGCGGCGAAACGATGGAGTACGCGACAGGCGAGGCTGCCTCCGACGGGCAGTGCAAGATCCTGTGCTGCACGTGCGGCGTGCCCGTCGAGCCGAACCCGTCCAACATGTGCGTGGCGTGCCTGCGCCAAGAGGTGGACATCAGCGAAGGCATCCCCAAACAGGGCACGCTCTACTTCTGCCGCGGCTGCGAGCGGTACCTGCAGCCCCCGGCCCACTGGGTCCACGCCAGCCTCGAGTCCCGGGAGCTGCTCGCCCTGCTCCTCAAGAAGATCAAAGGCCTGAACCGCGTCAGGTTGGTGGACGCCGGCTTCGAGTGGACCGAACCCCACTCGCGTCGTATCCGCGTTAGGCTCACCGTGCAGAAGGAGGTGGCGGGCGGCACGATCCTCCAGCAGGTCTTCGTGGTCGAGTTTGCGGTGAACCACCAGATGTGTGACAAGTGCCACCGGCGCGAAGCCAAGGACTTCTGGCGCGCCCTGGTGCAGGTCCGCCAGAAGGTCCAGCACAAGAAGACCTTCCTCTACTTAGAGCAGCTGATGCTCAAGCACCAGGCCCACAAGGACTGCCTGAACATCAAGGCGTGCCACGACGGCCTCGACTTTTACTTTTCCAAGAAGGACGAGGCGCGCAAGCTGGTCGACTTCCTGCAGACTATGGTGCCGTGCCGCTACGTCATGTCGCAGCAGCTCATATCGCACGACGTGCACAGCAACGTGTTCAACTACAAGAACACCTTCTCGGTGGAGATCGCGCCCGTCTGCAAGGACGACGTGGTGTGCCTGCCGCCGGCGGTGGCGCGCTCGCTGGGCAGCATGAGCCAGATCTGCGTCTGCCTCCGCGTCACCAGCTCCATCCACCTGATGGACCCGAGCACCCTACAGGTGTCCGAGCTCAGCGCTCAGCAGTTCTGGCGTAACCCGTTCCAGGGTCTCTGCGCGCCCAAGCAGCTCACCGAGTACATCGTCATGGACGTGAGCCACGTCAAGGACGTCGACCGGACTTTCTTTGCGGGGCAGGGCAAGCTGTCGTTCCGGCACGTCCTCGCGGACGCCTGGGTGATCCGCGCGTGCGACCTGGGCACGCACGAGAACTACACGCACTGCCGCACCCACCTGGGACACCTGCTCAAGCCGGGAGACTCGGTGTTGGGCTTCGACTTGGCCAACGCCAACATCAACGACGCGCACTTCGAGAAGCTCAAGGCGGACAAGCGTCCAGAGGTGGTCCTGGTGAAGAAGGTGTTTGGGGACCGGATGTCACGCAGTCAGAAGCGGCGCTGGAAGCTCAAGCGTCTGCAGCTGGACATGGAGACCGAGACGAGCAGCGTGGCCCGCGACTACACAGAGTTCCTGGAGGAGCTCGAGGAGGATGCCGTCTACCGGCAGAACGTCAATGTCTACCTGGACAGGGAGAAGCTCGCCGTGGACACCGATGACGAAGACGGCGAGTTGCCTAAGATCACGCTGCAGGAGATGCTGGATGACCTGTGCCTCGAAGATGACCCGATGGGAGACGGCCCAGAAGAACCTGTCGCGTAATGACGGGAGCCCCGCATTGGCATCGGGTCTGTGAATAAATGGGATTTTGACGGCACCGTTTGTCCCTGATGGTCCATTCCAGCAACTCATTACGATGACTATCAAAAAAGCACCGTTCATCTCACCCGACGGTTCATGTCAGTATCCATAATGGATGATTCCGGCAGTTGCAGCGTCAAGTGGCAATAGGCATAAATCGTTGGCTGCCGAAATTGCTGCAGTGTCCGCAGGTTCACTCTGGGTCTCGGCCTTGAGCAAGCAGCCTCTCCATGTTGGGATATTCCATTGCTCACTACGGCACAATGCCGCTGGTTCTGCTGTCACTACGATCACAATCGCATGAGATCAGATGCACTTTTGCGTGTGTTGCACGAGTTTGGTGAATGCTGTATGGATTCGAAATCTAGTTTTCCAAGTTTTCTTTTTTAGCGTGCCCTCATTATTTCCTGTTTACAACTCTGCTTCCGGAAGCGCTCTCTTTGTTTGCAGTAAAGACTGACAAGGTCAAGTGCTCTATAGCTAAAGCTAGCCACTTGGTCAAGTGGAAGTGGCAGAAGAGACTGGGTAGCCCCCCCATTTGAAGCATTGCATACTTTTTGAACTTGCAGAACTCCATTTGCAACGCTTTAATTTTATCATTGGCTCTTCAAACTATTTTTTAAACGTGCTTGTACATTAAGATGTGGAGCATTTAGAACTTTGATCAATGGTGCGCACATTAAACCAGGTTGTTGCGATTGAATCGGTGTACCCCATTCAGACAGACACACCCCCTCTACCCACCCCCTCCGAAGGACCTATCAGCTCGCCAGCTGCGCCGCATTGCTCCAATTGTGACCTTGTCCAGCACACTGAACACCTTTCGCAAAATAGTGTGTGTCCACGCCAAAGTAAGTGCCCACCAACTACTTTTAAAACCTTTGAGATGTAGGTAAGCAAGGTAGATATCAAGTGCCCACCCCAGCAAACCTCCAAGCTAACCAAGGTTCTTTACATCAGCTGCTGGGGGGGGGGGGGGCTGCAGTCGCTTCTGTTGCTTTTGGCGCCAAGGATGGCGCGCTTTCGGCAGCTGCTCTCTTGTCGGGCATTTCTGCTCCCCTCGGCGCTGAGGAACATGGCAGCACCTGAGGAATCTATATCGGCGGCGGCCGCAACCTCGGCAGTAGTGAAACGTGGCCGTCCACTTCACTACACCGCAGACGAACTGAGGGAGCGGAAGAACGACATTCATGCCTTCGCATTCACAACTCATAAAAAGCGTTGAGGTGTCCTCGGAATATTTTTTTAATTAAGTTCTTATTTTAAAGCTTTTTGCACCTCTTTGTTTATGTTCTATTTCTTGCAGTATGTTTTCTTAATTTCCATGCAACTTTGCACACGCCAGCATGTGTTTCTTTCGTCTTTTTATCACAAGTCATTCAAACTTCTGCTTACAAGGGTCTAAGAGTGATTGACGGTGAGGCTGCAGTTTCTGGCGTGTCAGCAGCTGCAAAAAACCTTTAGCAAGTGTCCAACATGAGGCCTGAATTTGCACTTTTAGTCCAGGGAAAATGATGCAAGCAAGCCAGCCATTCGCATTCATTTTCACTCAGCGAGACATGACCTCTTAGACATGGGATACCACCTCACTAGTTTATTGGCAAGAACAGAAGACTAGATACATCTCAGGAACATCAAAATGTACAGGCACCTCCGAAAGAGAAAAGACACAGTCCTATATTGTGAGTGCTGCCTTTGCAACGATGCAAATGCACGCTTTCAACAAAATTAGATGCTCGATGCGCAAAACGCCTAGTGCACGCAGGATGGCGCCATTCGTTGCTGTTTGAGCACTTACATTTGCTCTTGGTGCTCTTTCGAGGCCTTGCTTGGTGTAGCACCATTTCTGCATTCTCTTGTGCAATCTATTTCTTCTACAGCTGTGATTAGAGGCATGCATGACAACACTCTTTTTCCGCGCGCTTCACCCACTGCAACGTGCTGAGTAACCGCCTCTGTTAGAGTACTGGACGAGTAACTAGAGTAAAAATTTCACAATCACATTTATGACAAGAGACCAACAGCATACACATGCCATCTGAGAGTATAACCTAATGGATGTGACATTCTCTAAATGGATATTGAATGGGTACCTCCAGTGTAGACTTCCAACTATAGCTTATGGAGAACACAGAGAGCTTTCAATGCGAAAGTGGATGCTTCTGGTACAATCATATACATCCCACATTTCCAGTTCAGGGGCTGCGCCATCTCGGCGGCTCCAGTGTTTGCATCAGTAGGTTTGCATCAGAACTCTTTCAAAAGCCAGAGCTTTCTTCATTGCTGCAGTAGGCCCAAATGAAACATAGGACATTCCAATAGAAGACTATAGTGTCAACAGTCACCCTAGGAAACCTTTTATCAAAAGCCTAGAGCTGTCTCTCATATTCAACAGACCGACAGTGGTGCCTGCACTGAAGGTGTTCTTTTTAACGAAAAGACAAAACGCGGAGCATGAGACACTTGCTCCTGGAATGAAGATAACCACAATTTTCTGCAAACAGAAAAACATCCAAAACGGCACGACGAGGGTCCTTTTTCTTATCAAAGTAGTCTCACAGCTGGGAATTTTGGTTCCATCACAAAAATGTGTAATTGACCCTGAGCACAGAACATATGTTAGCTTTCATGTCGTTCATCCTGTTGTTAACAGCACACTGTCATAATACTTTTCATGGGCTAAAGACAGAAACACAGAATTCTAGACTTTCCAGAATTGGCTAATAATTCACATAATCACTTTCTGGAGTTATTCATAATTATAATTTATGACCTTGCATTTGTAGTTAAATTCCTTTCTGACATCTGTAATTACAAAATGTGCATGAGATCTACAAATAACTTTGAAATGATTTAGTAATGTCAGAGCTCATACGAGGAGTCACTGAAAAGAGGAAGCAGAGGGCATCTGCCTTACTTGCCCCGCCGTCAATTCGGGAGGCTTTCACTGAACAAGTAAACTTTTATATACTTTCAGAATGATAAGCAATGCTCTAACCATTTCAGAGACCTAGCAGAAATAATAAAACTGACCTTTACTGTACCCAGACCCAGCTACAGTCCATACATCTGGTGAAACAGAGGCATCGATTGTGGCAAACATAAAACACTGCATACTGAAAACTCAAGGAATGAGGCAATTAAGGCAGACGTTCTGCACTTCTGCTCTTTTAAGTATGTCCAAGCAATTTAGCCAGGTATGGTATGCTAATGGCCAAGGGAACACATGCCCAACATAGGCTAGTATTTAACATTTGCTGCACAGCATTCATACACAAGCAGCTTGCCATGCTAGACCAAAAATAAGTACAAAAGCATCACAGATGCTCAACAGATCTTACTCAAAACTCACAACCGCTGACTAGAGGTGCTTCCATGGCCATTAACAATGAACAAACGGCCAGCATCGTGGAACAACTTCAATACTAGCAAAATATCTCGTCGAAAACACTCGCACAAAATAATTTTGGTGTTTCTCTGCATCCCCGTCATCAATGCCAACACTCCTGTCACTAGTATTCAAGGATAAAATCCTACAGGCCCATTTCTTCGCTCCTACGCCGCTGAACTCCTTCTGTGTAACCAAGTTGCTAAAACAGTGGCAGCATCGTCGGCACCCATTTCCTGTTGACAGTGTTCATAGCACTTGTGGGTGCAAACAATCAACACCTGCTAGGTAAGAAGGCCGTAATGCTAAATTTTCAATGTCGCCAAAAAAGTAGCAAATGCAGGCATAGATTGGACATGAGTGCTGCATCAGTGATTGGCTGAAACTTGTCTTCGATCGGTGAGAACAGGAGTCTTGGCTGACTGCTGATGCAGCACTCGTGCTCAGTCTGTGCCCATACCTCTTGAGGTGACGAAACTTCAGCACTCGGGCCTTGGCATCTAGGTGGTGTTGAAATAACCCGTCGCTCCACAACATCGGATGGTGCCATGGGATCGCACCAGAACGGTCGACCCAGAAAAAGAAAGCACGCGCAGTCTAAATTTACCTCTGAACTCGACAAAACATAAATCTTTGAATTTTTACGGCAAGTGACCCGCACCTCTGATTTACGCCTGAAGGAAACAAACTCGATACCGGCCAATGGGTCCAAAACAACCGACCCAAAGTCCTAGAAGGAGCCCCAGACGTCTCGAATGAGGTCGTCCCAGGGACCCGATGGGCCAGGGAAGTTACTGCAACTCCATGAACTGTCCAAGGAGTTGCTGCAAGTTCATCGGCCATCCAGGGAGTTAGTGCAACTTCATGAGTTGTCCAGAGAGTTAATGGGACCCCATGAGCCGTCCGGAGAGTCAGTGCGACCCCGGGTGCCGTTCGGGGAGTTACTGGGACTCCATGAGCTGGTCCCGAGTGCCATCCACCTCGGCCATGGCGTCGTGGGCCTGCCCCTGGCCGCCGTCCGTGCCCCCCTTGCGGGTTGGGATGTACGACCGGATCTTGGTGAAGAGACCACCCACAGAGAAGGGGCTAGATGGGGGCTCTTGGCTCTCGATGCCCATTTCTGCAAAACGCCGGCGGGACGGTTAGTCCTGGAGCAACATTGGGCTCACTCTTTTGGCAGTCCATGGAAGACGTGGCTGTCAGAGCAGAGCTATACCGTAAAATACTGGGCATGCAGCGAGGTTACACCAAGTGCCCACCTCCAACAATTTTAAACATTTGAGTGCAAAGGACATACCAAGCGTTCACCCCCGGACTTCTGGGCCCTCTTAGCTAGCCAAGGTGCTGCCCCTCGTTGGCTGCTTCTCCGAGCACGCCGGTGCAAAGCCGTGAAGCCCATCCATCATGTGCCCCTTCATTTTTTTTTTTTTTTTTTTTACCACAAGTTTAATGAGCATTTTTTTTTTGTTTTTTCTTTTATGATTACCTCCGAATTTCGGGTGCGCCCTTGCTAGATATTTTAGGGAAGTCTGTTGTAGGATAAGAATAGCAGCACAAGCCCCTCCTACAAAATTTTCTGCTCATCAAAGTTGGTTGGTTCCCCCCCATCTCCACTTGCTTCTCTCCAACAATCCCTCTTCTCGAGTGGAAAGAGTAGATGGCTTTGAGGGATGAGCTTGCCCTGCTATCCTCAGCCTACAACAGACTATAGGTGCTCTTTCCCAGCTAGTATGAGCGATTCAGTCCGATTAATTCATGGCCCTGCTGGAGATTGGGAGCCCACTCACACTTAGAAGCATGACCAGGCTCAGTGAGCTTCAACATGCAGTACAGCACCAATGTGCACAATTTGGAATTTGTTCATTAATGTCTTAAGAACACTGTAGAGAAACTGCAATCGGGGGAAAGAGGCAGATTTAAAAGTGAGGTGAAGTCTACTTTAGCAATACTAGAACCTTACGAGCACCAATGTGCATGATAGCACCTATGTTTAAAACCATGCTTTTGTTGGTTGGTGACACTCAAAATACTGCAGAGGGGGTGACGCTGTAGGCAAAGGGTAGCGTATTATGCAGGTGAAGGCAATTTCATGAATCACAGAATTAAAAAAAAAAAATGTTTTCACTGTGGCAGTTTGTGCTAATAATGGACAGGCTGAGTGGACCTTCTGTAGACAATTGGTATAGATGAGTTTAATATCTTATACAAAGTTAGCAATGAATATGAGTTAAGTCATTAGAGAAAAACCCAGGTTTGTAAATCTTAGTAACAATAACTTGTGCTCCTTGTTATTTTGAGGCGTAGTTTCTTGGAAGTGTGCCGTATCTGCTCTTGTACATGGCTCACGCATGCTATTTCATGGACTATGTTAGGCTATGTGCATCCAGTACTCTGAATGAGCTGAGTGGAGAACAAGCTGATCAGCAATATTGATAAAGCCATGACCCTCCTTTGAATTGTACAGTGTGCTGAACTGTTAAATATAACACGCGAGCATCGGCCGGAGAGGCTGCCTGCGTCATCTGCTGGCGCAGTCCCGCCGCGGTCGATAATATTAAGCAGTAATTTCTTCTTTTTTTTTTCCTGTCTTAAAAAAAAAAAAAGAAAGAAGACAGCATTATCTTACATTATACCGGGCGTTTCAGCGTAGCCGTTCAATAAATCCACAAATTAAGGTGGTTAATACATATATATACAGGGTGTTTCAGAGAACGCAGGCCAAATCGCTCCTGCGAAAACTACTCATCGCAACAAAAAAAGGCTTGTGGCGTTTTGGTTCTGGGCCATTTAGGAAAATTATTAAAGTCCGGGATAATTAAGTTGTTAATTATTTTTGCGTAATTAACTTTTTTTAATATTGTGCTTAAGGGCATAGTTTAAATTAGAAAATTGCTCAGCATCATCGAAAAACACAAAATCAATAAATTGCAGAACGATAGAAGGCACGCGAAGCATTGTACGGCTTTCTGAAAAACCGCACAAAATCGGCGGGTTTTTAAGTTTCGGTTTGCTATCAGAGCACATCTCAGCCCCGGCGGCACCGCGCCCCGTGGAGAGATAGTGCAACCAACCTCTGCTGCGCCGTCATCGCGCGACGCAGCAGGGGCTGGTTGCACTATCTCTCCACGGGGCGCGGTGCCGCCGAGGCTGAGATGCGACCCGTCGTGGCGTTGCTCCATCAAGGCTGTATAAACATACAGAGCAAAATCTTTTTTTTTTTTCGAAACGTAGTAATAAACTTTGAAGTGGTAACTCTGACAGTACGCATCTTTGACTTATTAACTTTTCCCGGTCCATTGATTTTTTTTTTTAATATTTACCTTACTTCACTTATATATATATATATATACATATTGGGGCATAAACTGCCAGCCACGGCGGACAAAACATATCAATTAACTAGTTAGCAAAAATTAACTTATTCACCTTTCATTAATTCAAAATAAACATATTTCATATTGCAAACGTGCCGGGTTTCATCGGAAACAACTAAATAAGTACAATTTAGGAAGACCTGGTGCGGTGCTGCGCTAACGTTATCAATCGTGCTACAGCTGCAAGGCTGGCCGTGCCAAAAAGCGCTTGGTAAGAAACGGAACAACAGCGCGGGCGGATCGAAGTTGGATGCCTTTTGGGACCCAGAACAACAAAGCACGTGCCCCAAATATTTTTATAAGTGACTGATTTAGTGATTTTTGATGATGCCCACCACCTTCCTAATTGTAACTATCTGTTTATTTTTACAAATTTAAAATTTGGCAAGGTTTAGGTTAATTATTCAGTTCTTTGGTATTCTTATATTATTATTATTTTTTTTTTTTATCTCTAACGTCCGTCATGGCTGGAAGTTTGTTCCCGGAAAGAGTTCCAGTTTTTCTTGACCACCGTATTTTTAGGAATACTCTCGAAAATCTTCGCTGAAACACCGGGGTATATTCGAGAGCCATTTGGGAGTTTTAGTATTTTAGATTTAGATCCGGTTTTAGCCACTGATGTACCGTTCCTCCAGAGTAGGAACAAAAGCTTGTTCGTCCTCAACGTCAGAATAAGTTCCCGTTACAAGTTACAGCAGTTCAAAAGGAACGCCCGCTCTATTTCTAAGACTGGAACGTGCCGTTACCTTCGCGTATTTTTATGAAAATTCGGGGTGGATAGTCCGTAACTAAAACAAAGCGAGCGAGAGAAAATATCGACATCAAACCACGTGCCGAGTTGCCACGATTACATTTGTTCCAGTTCCTTGTTTTCGACTCACTTCCCCGATTCCTTCAAGTCGGAAGCTAAAGTGGTCGATAGCAAAAAGCCTAAACGCCTCCTAAATTCGGGTAAAATTGCAGACAGAGAGAGAGCGAGAGTGTGTGTGTGCTCAGCACTCGCCGACAGGATACTATGGCTAAATCGTCCATCCTTTTCCGTCGGGTTAGTTGGTAAAAAAAAATAATTAAGCCTGCAACTGGCCAAACTGCGCGCGATGTCAGGCGGGACCGAACCTAGGAATGGTCCTTGTGATACAAGGCATGTCAAGCAGTTTGTGCCTTGTGTCAAGGAGGTCGTCTACGAGATTCCTCTGTGGTATAAGCAGTATAAAGCCCGGTTCACACAGTTGCGTTTGACTGCGTTGCGGCAGCGAGACACCAGGACATCCCTGCTGCTTATATCGCGTGCCAAGATGATTCTTTGAATTGGATTCCAAGCTTCATACGAAGCACAGATGTGCCGGTGACTCGCTTTCGGTTCTCGCCGCAACGCACTCAAACGCACTCAAACGCAAGTGTCTGAACCGGCCTTAAGTCTACTTGGGACAGACCGGCCGTCGTTTGAACGATAGGCTGCGTGAGCACGCGGCCTCGCGCTCACCAGTGGCCCGCGTGTTCTCCTGCGTTAGACAACACCCAGGTGACGTGGGACGCAAGAGGGGCAAGCTGGGGAGAGAGATCATGGAAGCGGCAACTACAATCTTTCAATAATGATAGCTGAGACACCAGACGCCCACTGAGGCAGACTAACTTCCGGCTGTATAAACATACACACAAGAATTTGCTTGCCCGTTTCGCAACGTCCCGATATGGTGCGAAGGCATCATAGGGCCTAAGGCTTGCTTGTGCCGCTGCAAATTTTATTTTCCTCTCACATTCCTTTTTTTTTTTTCTTCAATTTGTCTTTTTTTTTTTTTTTTTTTTTTATTCGCATCTATATATATATTTCTGCCACTAGACGTTGCACCGCGGGCCTCCATGGTACGGGCTGCTGCCTTTCGCGGCTCTCTAGAATTAAAAAAATAAAGACTAAAGACGACGAAACAAAAAGAAGAGCATGTACGTGCGCGTGCCACTGTGCGCGCGTGGAAGTTCCAGTAAAGTAAACCTTCGGTTGTTAGTCAGTGTATGTCCTGCGCGTCCGTCTTCGCTTTGCGTCCCGTCTTTTTTGCGCTGTTTTTCATTATGTCGTTCAACCAACCAGTCCAGCAAGCTACCGTGTTACGTTTAGGCTCTCGAGCTAAAGATCGATGATCTTGAAAAAAGAGAACGCAGGAACAACTTAGAAATACACGGACTAGAAGAAACATTAAATGAAAACCCGTTCTCACTCACCGACGCTGTACTCAAAGAAATATTTGAAAACAAACTAGAAGCGACGATAAAAAGTATGGAACGCATCCATCGCTTTGGAAAACAAAATGGCCGCTCCTAACGTCCAGCCATAATCAAACTCATGGATTATCGGGGAAAACAGGGTATACTACAAAATGCAAGGAAATTAAAAGGCACTAACATACCCACTGGAAAATACTTTTCACTTTGGGTGTGCTCCATTAAGAAGCTTCTTTGGGACAGCTCTCGACCAAAAAGAGAGCAAGGAGACCGCGAGTGTCTCTGTCATACGATAAGTTCAAAAATAAAAGCTGAAACCTACATCTGGGATCAACAACAAAAAAATTACAGGAAGATCCATTGGTGGATTTTTCGGGAATGCGTTAGCATGACCATTGGAAACGCAACAAAAAGTGAAAGGGTCAGTGTTGGCGTTTCCTTTGGGAAACGCCAACGCTGACCCCTTCACTTTTTTCTTTTGTCTTTCTATTTTGTTTCCTCTATTTTTTGCTGCCTCTTTTTTACCTCG